ATATTGTTAATCTTCGAGCAATAATTGAATCAAATCGAACTATAAGTTAGTTAACTTAATTTTTTTTCTATGAAACAGGTCAAATTTAATGTTAGGTTGAAGTTCAATCTTGTTCAATAATCTGTGCATCCGTACTTGAAAGCATCAAAGCGTCTATAAGCGACAGACGCACTAGCCTCTGTGGAATTCAAGGAAGCTACCTCGCCTGACGTGCTAGGTGTTAAAAATTAATCGGTAAACTATAATATTCAGCGACATTTGGAATCTACACTCATTTTTCTATGCAACGTTTGCTTTGATTTTTAAAAATTATATAATTTAACTTTTAATATTAATAAAAATAAATTTAAAAATAAAAAAATTATTAATCCTTTTTTATAATTTTTTGAGTCAGTAATTTTGGAATTTTTATTATACTTTCTCTATTTAAAAATATAAAATATTTTTAATTAAATTTTACCTTTCAATGAAATAGTTATTTACTTTTAAATTAATATAATTTTTTATATTTATCTTTATTTAATAGATGTTTTACTTTAAAATAAATATAAATTAATTTTTCATTAGGGATACTTTTGAGAAATAAATATAAATTGTAGAAAGGCAATTGCAAAACAAATTGTAAATTTTGGATGTTCATTTACGAATGTTAGAAGTTAGGTTGTAAATAATAGAATATTAGTTGTTGCAAATGAATTTTAAATTAAAATTTTAGGATTTTTAAAATTTCTATAATTAACATATTGGTTCTCACTTACAACTTAAGAGATGAAGGCATTTAGTGCATGCATTATCTAAGTTGTCATATTAAATTTGGACACCTTATATTTTTTTTCTCTGTATTTTTTAAATTGAATTAGTTGGTTGTTATAAAAGCGATATTATTTTTTAATCTTGTTTCGTATTCAAAATAATAGCAAGATGTTGACCAACGTGCAAAATCAAACTTGGACTATGAATACCAAAATGCATTTGCACAGAATCTATTTTCTTAAAGCGTCACTCCTCCACTCAACAAATCAATATATATCACCGACTTAACACAGCCAGCGCGCGCGCGCGGATTCCCGCCGGTTCTTTTTATGAGAAGCTCTTAACTACTTTATTAAAATTAAAAAATGATAATTAACTTATAAAATATATTTTAAAATTAAAAAAAATTCAATTTTACTCCTATTAAAAATAAAAGAAAGAAAGATACACATTATAAGATGAGTCGATGAACCATAAAATTAAATTTATAATGAGGATAAAAATTAAAAAAATGATAATAAAGAACCCTTTATGCGCTTTATTTTAAAGACCAAATAATCATTAAAAATGTATTCTATAATAGGCACATGAGAAAGTGTATATTCAATGACAACTATACTCTCTTTATTAATATTTATAAGATAAAGAGAGAAAAATTTTTTAAATTCTATTTATAAGACCCGTTATTAAATTTTACAATAAATTTTTTATTTTACCCTTCATTGAATGTTGAAGAGAGAAAAAATATTATTAAAATATATATATTTAATATGGGTAAAGTTAATAACTTCTTAATTAAGACATAGTTAATGAGTTTTAAGGATTCTCTTGATAATAGTGAAATATATTAGAAGTGACTTATAAATAAATTAGAATAGTACTATACAACTATTCCAACCTAATAATTAATGCCAACACTTAATAAAAAAAATCATGCCAACAATTTGTGCTAATTTGTGGTATTACTTAAACTGTTTTGTTCCAATTTGTCTCCATTGTGGCAATTTTGATATTTATATTTTTTAAATAATTTATAAAATACTCTTTTTATCCTATTTATAAAATAATTTTAATATGTTTCACCTGATTTAAAAAAACTTAAATTTTATTAATTTTGTCTAAAAATTTAATAAATTTTTAACTTTACCCCTATTAAATATGTATGCTTTAGAAATAAAATATCTTCAATTTTTAATAATTTTTTCCATATTTAGTAGGAGAAAAATAATAAAGATGAACATCAAAATTAGATAGGTTCCTGTAAATAGGACTAAAATAAATACTCTTTTTACCTAACAAATAAGATTGGAAAAATATGTTAAGGACAAAAATAATGATAATACCACTAGCTTGGGATAGTCACACGACAAAGCAACTTGATCATTTATAAATATATTATAGCTTAATAAGACACATCACTCATGTTTAACATACTTAAACACACAACTGTTCATATTAAATAGGAACATAATACACATTTTTAATGACTCAACATGTCAACAGGATAAAAAAATATCAATAAAAATTGTCTACATAATATTCAAGGATAACTTGTTTCAATTGATCATACACTATTTTATGTTTAAAAATAAAAGAAAAAATAGAATACAAAAATAATTAAAATATCGACAATAACTATCAATTCTTACCATTGGTCTATGAATATCTGATATAATTTGCTGGCTTGTGTTAAACAATTCAAGATTTGATTATATAATTAATAATGTCACACAAGAACCTTATTAATGCATAAATTTCTAATTTGTACTTCACAACTTTTCAGAGCAAAAAATTTAAATTTAGTTTTGGGAGAATTATTTTGGGACCCCACAACATAATTAAGCATCATAAGGTCTTCTATGTTGTTATTTTGCTCTACTAAATTGTGATCTTTAAACTATTTAGCTGTCATTTTATTTTGTCAAGCTATCATAGTATTTAATATTGTAAGAAATTTGTGTATAATTTTTCTTATTTTTTTTTAAACTAAGGTTCTCAACCATAAATCTGCTTATATGCTACCTTATTCTATATATAAGCCACATTTTAAAATTGTGGTTCTCAACCATAAATCTCCTTATATAAAGTAATTTATCTAAAAGCATTGCTATTAAATAAATTATTTTATATTTATTTTATAAGTAAACATCTTATTAAATAGGAATAAAGAAGAAAATATATGATTAGTTTAAAAATAAATAATTACTTTATTGAAGTGAAATTTTATTAAATGTTTATATTTTTAAACAAAGAGAATATATCTTTAATATTTTTTTATTAATGGGAACTTGAGATGTAAGGATAGTAAAAGAGGATAGAAATTAATATGACAGCATGCTTAGTATAATCAACAAGGATAATATGGAAAACTAATTGAATTTATAACTTCTTTAATATTTTAAATAGCATTTAACTATTTTTTATATGAAAAGGGAGAGTATATATTTCATTCATTTAAAAATATAAAATATTTTTAATTAAATAATACTCTCAATAAAATAATTAGTTGTCTATCAACTAATATTATCTTTCATGTTATTCTTATTTAATAAAATATTTTATTTTAAAATAAAAAAATAATTTATTAGGAATAAAAGCACATTGATTATAGTTTAAAATATTAAAAAAAATTTAAATTTTTAAATATTTAAATCCTTAAAAATGTCTTAAATTTTGCAAGCAAAGGAGTATATTATAATATTTATAGAGTGGGAAGATTATATTAATAAATAATAAAGTGACAAACACATTCAAAATTGGAGAGAGAAAGACTGTTTTCAGAACCTCAACTAATAAAACGATAGAGACTCAGAATCACGTGGAATCATTTTCCAGGAAAGCTCCAACTCAGGTTCTGCCAATTTTGCATTCCAATGCAACCAGCATGCAGAATCCAGAAGTAAATATACATACAACAACAACGAACCCTTCTTACTATTATTATTACTATTATCGCTGCTGCTAAAAAAAAAAAGGCCATGATGAAAATATTTATAAGAAAAAGATTTACACGCATTGACTCCAATCCAAGCCTGTTAAAAAATCTTAAATAAAATCCAACATCAAATGTGTTCTGAACACAATATAAATTATAATTAATTAATTTATGATTTATAAGTAATGTTATTTAAAAATTTTAAATTTTTTAAAAATGTCTCTATCTTTGTATCTATATTTTATTAAATATATTATATAAGAGGCTTGATAATAATAATTAATATTTTAATACTTGATTATTTAAAAAAAAATAAATAAAGTAAGAGTATAGTAGAAAAATAAATATAAAAAATATATAATATCTTATATTTGAATTAGGTAATATATATTTACTCATTTTATTAAAAAATATAAGATATTTTTAAGAATTAAATGTTAAAAAATATAAAATATTTGAGTTTTTAAAGTGTAATCATTACTTTTTTTTAAGTATTCCATTGAAAAGATTATTTTATATTTATTTAGAGTAAAATACTTTATTAAATAAAAATCAATATAAAAATATAAAATTAATTTAAAAATAAATAACTATTTTATTAATGTAAAATTCAATTAAAAATAATTATATTTTTTACTGAAAGAGTATATCACTGTATAAGGTATCATTTAAAAAATATACTTCCTTCGTTAAAAATGTAAAATATTTTTAATTGAATTTTACCTTCAATAAAATAATTACTTACTTTTAAATTAACCCTATTTTTTATATTTATCTTTATTAAATATCTTTAATAAATATAAAATTATTTATTAATAAAAATATTCAAAAAATAATAATTACATTTTAAAAAATTAAAAAGTTTTATACTTTTATACATTCATTTTTTTAAAAAAAATCTTCTATTTTTCAAGAAAATCATATTATTCATGAACTATAAATGATTATAAATATAAATTATGAAAAATTGACCATTTCAATCTCAAGTGACAGCACTGTCAGAAAGCTCCCCTTTTCTATGCGATTTTTCACATTTTTGTATCTTCTGCAATCCTATTCTGAGCAGCGTATTAAATGCTTGCCCTTTTCTTAACTAGAATTCAAATTTTAATTTGTGACCCGAGACCCCAATTCTCCAGTGATTATTTTTAGCGTATCTATTGACGCTGCCAACCGAGAAAAGAAATTTCTGAACGTATTTTCACTAGAAAATCAGAATCAACTTTTGATCAAATGCAGTCCCGTGCAGCTATTTTATTGACATCACTCTCATGTCAGATTTTCCCGGAAAAGCTAAAGAAAGTGAAAGGAAAAAACAGCAGAGAAAGTAGATTATCTTTTACCATATTAGCTTAATCCCATCTAAGGAAGGACAAAACCAGAAAAAACAGAGATAGGCGTAAATAAATTAAATTAAACTACATGCCTTAAATGAAAATGCCCTAACCAGATTTAGATTTCGTTGCTGACCATTGGTTTTTCCTGAATCCATGAGTTCTTACAGTGTGCTATCGCACCCTGGATTGCGCTCTGCAACTCCTCCATCGTCGACGAATTGTAGCTGCTATAGTACATCCCTCCGGCGACGCCACCGCTTCGAGAAATCGCGCCGGAGTGAGTTGGCGAGGATCTCATCGACGAAGGACAGCTCGAAACGCAGCTTCTCTTCCTCCTCAGGTGCCTCAGATTTCCCGAGAAAGAATGAGAAAGCATCACCGACCCTATTTGTTTCTTCTCCGCTTCTTTCGCAGTTGATCTCTCTGTTCTCGCCAACAGAGACGAAAACGACGTCGGTTTTGCTCCGTTAGTAGTCTCCGTCCTCTGCTGATGATTCTGTTTCTGCGAAAACTTCTCGTACAACGGCTTCACCTTCTTCAAATACTTCCTAACAACCTCTCTCGCCGTAACGCTCACGCGTCTCACCGACGATCCGGATACGCCATCCGGATCTCGGGTCTTACCCGGTTCTTTCCGGAACACGGAGGAGAATCTCGAGAAGGTAGATGATAAGTACTTGTTCGTCGTGCTCGTCTTGTTGATCTTGTTAATCTCTCTATGGGATTGGAATCGAGTGGCTTGGGGATAGAACAGCGGGTTGTTAAATCGTTTGACGTCATCGTCGTCCGTGACAGAGCTCGGGCGGGAGGAGTCGCAATCGGTGGCGGTGAATAAGGAATGCTGGGAATCGTTGGAGCTGCCGGAGGAGTCACGGGCGGCGGAGGAGGAGGAGGAGGGAAGGAGGGTTGGGACTACGGAAGGCAAGCTGTGGGAGGGGTGGAGGGGTAAAAGGTGGCCGTCGCGGAAGAGTTCGTCGGCGGGGCAGAGGGCGGAGGAGGAGAATTTTCGGGGAGAGATGGAGATGGTGAACTCGAAGTCGGAGGAAGAGGAGGAGTGGGTGGGCGACGGAGGAAGCATGTGGGAGTTTGACTTTGTCATGTCTTTGTCTGTGGGTGGCTTCGCCATAGCTACATGGTAGGCAGAGAAGGAAGGAGAAGACGGTGAGGAGAGCCTAAGCTAAGAGAGAGACCTGAGAGTTTGAGACTTGAGAGAGAAATTTTGCAGAGAGGGACGTGTGAAGAATGGTCAAGGATCTCTATCTCCATTGCCGACGCTCCTTTGTGACGCGTAAACTTCACCATTCGCAACGTTTACTTCCATTATTTGGTTTATTTTTCTACTCCGATTCCCAGCTTTTTTACCATAATACTACACATTGTAAAAGAAATTGCTGGAATACTGTAATATGGAAAATATTTTTTTAAAATACTACACTAAAAATTATTTATAAAAAAAAAAGAGTTTGAGGTTCTGAAAAAATTATTCTCACCTAGAATGATTTTTAGAGTTAAAATTATCTTTTTATTTTATTAAAAGTAAAATCATTTACTGCATGAATGATTTAACTTATATTATTGATTTGAAGTTTTATTTTTAATCTTTATATTTTTTTTAACCCGTGATCATTTTGTGAAAATCTTCGGAACACCCTAGGCTTCAGCTTTTGCTTTTCACATGAAAATAAAAAATTCATGCACATTGGTTATGTAAGGGCTGAAGATATGAAAACACGGTAGCAAAGTTGAAGTTAGATAGAGTGAAGCCAAATAGTGTGAGGGTAATTTTGCTCTTCTCATTTTATTCATATTCATGCGTTGGTGAGATTGAATATAAACATTATTTGCTCTTATTTATCCAGTGTTCTAACATTTTATTTCTATAATTTTCATTCTTGCTTTATTTCTTGTCTGCTTCATTTCTCATGCTTTGTCATTTCTTCTCATTCAAACTTTAAAATTCTTTATTTCTATTTAATTTCTCTATTTCAATTGTTGGTGTTAGTGTTGTGATCAAAGTTTAAAGTGTATTTTTTTCTTTTTATCTACTTAAAGCCTGACTCTCCATCTAATTAAGGTATATTTTCTTAATAATTTTTTCAAATTTTATATTAAAGTTAATATTTTTTTGAGTAAAATTTTAATATTTAATCATTAATATTTTGTATGTTAAGTTTTTCTTAATTGCAAATGTAGCAATGTGGTTAATATTTTTATAAAATAATCAGGGTATAATCAACGTAAATGTAAAGGGAGTTAAATTTTAAAATAATATACAATATTTTATATTTTTATTTATTTTAATATTCATACTAATTAATTATTTATGTAAGTTTATTACATTAAAAATCTGAGAGAATAAATTACACATAATATTAATCATTACAAAGATATCTATAAAATTATATTACTCGTAACAAATATAAATAATATAAGAAAACCTTATCAAATAAATAATATAAAAAATTTAAAAGTGAAATTATATATCTATAATATTAATTATAACAAATATAAATAGTATAGGAAAAACTGATTAAATAAACAATGTAAAAAAATTATACATTTTTATAATATTGATGTTTGGAAAAATGTACATATTAATATATTATAAAACATGGTAGATCCTTATACTTAGGGAGAGAGGTCAAATAACAAATAAACATACACATATACTATATATACATATACTGCATAGATTATATAATATATGTGTGTGTTTGTAGTTAATTTATTAATAAAAATACTTATTACATAAAAAGATTAAATACACATAAAAAAATTGTTACATATAAGTAATACTTCATTTGATCTTAAATATAAAAGTTAGATAATTAATTTATAAATTTTTAAAAATTAGTTAATTTAATTTTTTTTATAATTTAATTTTATTGGGATGTTAATTGTATAATGTAATGTTTAGGAAGTAAAATGAATCATAGAAAAGAGTTTGTGCGTATATTTGCATTATTTAGCCTCAACTTTGCTACTATGTCTTCATATTTTCAGCCCCTTATATAGCTACTGTGCATAAATTTTTTAATCCCGTGTGAAAAGTAAAATTTGGGCTTGAGGGGTTTGAAGGTTTGACAAAACAATTACGGGTTAAAGAAGGAAAGATTGAAAATAAAATGTCAAATCAACAATAATAAATTAAAATTATTCAGGCAATGAACGATTTCACTTTTAATGAAATAAAAAAATAATTTAGGACTCTAAAATCATTCTAGGCGAGAATGATTTCTTTAGAATCTTAAACTTGTTTTTCTTGTGAACAATTTTTGGTGTAGTATTTTGAAAAATACTTTTCACGTTGTAGCATTTGGCAATTTATTTTACTGTGTGTAGTATTCTAGTAAAAAAGACTTGAATCTCCTACTCCTTCCTTCTCAAAGGAAAAGTATTTTTTTCAACTAATTTTAATTTAAAATAAAATAACTTAGTTCATGTAAAAAAAATTCTTTCCCATTTTATTCCCTGTACTTCTTAACCTGAATCATTGTATAAGTTTATCTCTCACTCATTATGATATGCATAGGTAATTAAGATTGTAGATAAAAAGGAAAACAATATACTCCCTACAATCTTATTTATAGGTTAGAGACAAAAAAATTTTAGTCCTATTTAGAAGTTAGTTCATTACATTTTCATCACAAATTTTTTCATTTGACTTTCATTGAACATTAGAGAAAAATATATTATTAAAATATGTATATTTAATAAGAGTAAAATTTAAAAATTATAAATTTTTATATAGTTAATTACTTTTAATATTTTCCTTAAATTTGGTAAAATATATTGAAAGTATCTTATAAATAGAATTAAAGAAGTATATTTTTATGAGAATGAGGATTTATTGATATAAATTTTTTTTCCTAAAAACTACTTATATTTTAGATCACAAGGAGTATCTCTTATTTATATGACAAAAAAAATGTTTTGATCTTATTAATTTTACATGACACTTCTGCAATTTTTTGTTTATTTTATCTCTTTACTTCTGTTAAATGTTGGGAAGATTATTAAATATTTCTTTCAATTCAAAATATAAGCATTTTTTTTAACGAATCTTGATATAAAATATAAGCGACTTAATATTTGTAGAATTTTTTTTTTTATTTTACCTAAGGTATTTATTAACCTATATTCTTATTTTTTTAATTTATGAGTTTCTTCTCACTCATCATAAATTGAAACTAAAATTAAAAAAGAAAACAATATATATCTTTATTAGAATAAGAATGTTATGCTGTTTATTATAAAATATATTTATATTTTTTGATCAAAGAGAGTATTAGAGAATTTTATTTTAAAATATGTATATTTAATAGTTATGAAGTAGAAAAACATTTAAATAAAGATAATAAGTTTTAATTTTTTTAAATTTTAATAAAATATGTTAAAAGTGATTTATAAATAAATTTGGAGAGAGGGGTTATGTGTCACGTACATATGTATGTGCATATATTGACTTTCATTGTATTTTAATCTCACTGCAAAAATTGATAAGATGGCTTAATGTTGGGACGAAGTAAGATATTATTCTTTGTAAAAATGAATGTAAATGGTAAGGACTTTCATCTTTATAAACGATTTGAAAAAAATGCAGAAAATAAGTTATATAATGTTTCTATAAATTTTAGAGATTGAATATCTATCTACAACACCCATATAATATGAAAATAAAATTCAAAACCTGGGGCCTTAACTTGCCAATTCTGCTTCCGCCACCATTGTACCTTGTGTATATAACAAATTAAATTTAATTAAGTTATCAATAGTCTCATTATCTAGTCATTTCTATAAGTGAAATTATAAGCTTAATCTTGCTTGCAATCCCAAACTATTAGTATCTATCTCTCTAACATGTGGCATGATTATCTATTATTTCCTTCTTATTTCTGGGAAAAAATATAGATATTCTCTCCGTTCAAAAATATAAGGTATTTTAACTGATTCTTACTCTCAATAAAATAATTACCTATTTTCAAATTAACTTTATCTTTTCATATTTACCTTTATTAAACACCCTATAATAAATATAAATTCATTATCAATAAGGGTAATTTAAAAAAAAATCAATGATTACATTTCGAAAGACTAAAAATGTATTATATTTTTTAATATTTAAATTTTTAAAAAATATTTTATGTTTTTGAATGGAGAGAGTGTTAAATATATTGAGAGTGAGAAAAATTTGGTACCGAAATAAAAAAATTAATATAAAAATGCATGCATAAAACATTTTAAGAGTAATTACGATTTGTTCAACCAAATTTTGTATCCTCGTAATTATACTCTTTTCCTCACTACTATTAACATATATAATTTCATGAGAAAAAGACCCAAACGACAGCATGCATCCTTCAATCAAAAAATGCTCACCAACGTGTAACGAGGATTCATGTCCGTTTAATTTCATTCAAGACTAGTTAATGATAGTATTAATACACATTAGTAAACCAAAAGATGAAAAAATACATATCCAAATATTTCAGAGATTCTTAGAATATTTTAAAATCAACTTTACGTCAAAAACAACTTCATTCATTTTTAATATAATTTATGTCATATTATAAGTTTAAAGAATAAAAATAATTTTTGGCCAAAAAAAATATTTCACAACATAACATAATAAATCATGATTTAAATTTTTAATAAAAAAATTAAGGTTAATGGGCATCTTGTAAATTTGAGTAAATTACCTCTTGTCATTTATAAATTAAAAATTAATTGCCATTATATGTAAATTAATAATGGTGATAATTTACTCAAAATTTATAAGTTAATAAGAATTTTTGCTTATATTGAAAGTTTAAAATTAAGCTATTCGTTGGGCAATAGTTTAAGATTAAAGGTGTTCATTAATTCAAAAAATTATCCACATTTAATGCCGCCCAGCTGGAATGTTCACAAACAATAATAAAAAAAAGAATAAAAATATTTAAAACAAATCATGCAGGACAAGCATGGCGACTGTAGGGAGGGGTGAATTTTCAATTCTGACATGAGGCACCACGTGGTTGTAACGGATATGGCGGACGATGCACGAGGCATCTATTTTTACATACATGCATATCATGTTATCATATAATTGTTAAAAAAAATATCCTCTCCGTAAAAAAATATAAATTATTTTTAATTAAATTTTATTTTATAATAAAATAATTATATATTTTTAAATAAATTTTATTTTTATATATATCTCTATTAAACATTTTATAATAATATATAAAATTATTTATTAATATAGATACTTTTAA